GGGGGGGGGGGGGGGGGTGAGTATTGGGCTCTTCACACACTTATTGGCCAACATGGCGTAACCCATCGAATCCCTTGCCCACATACTTCTAAACAAAATGGTTTTGTTGAACGCAAATACCGTCATATAGTTGAAAGTGGGCTCTCCCTCTTATCTCACTCTTCCGTTCCAAAATCCCATTGGGATAATGCTATCACTATGGCTGTTGTCCTTATAAATTGTTTGCCTACTTCTCCGTTGCATTCCCTGTCTCCTTTTGAAAAATTATTTAATAGGAATCTCGATTATTCCATTTTACATGTATTTGGTTGTGGACATACTTACGCCCTTACAACAATCATAAGATTGACTTCCATTCTAAACAATGCATATTTATTGGTTTTAGCATTAACCATTATGGATATAAATGCTTGGACTTATCCACTGGGAAAGTTTACCTCTCACGCCATGTAGTGTTTGATGAGACTAATTTTCCTATCTCAACTCCTTCCAGTCCGGGCTCCTCTTCAATCTCAACCTCTTCCATGTGCTAATTGACTCTTAATCTCCAATCTGTCGTTCCTCAACTTTCTCCACTTTCCTTAGCCACACCACAACTTTCGTCTTCTCGAATTTCTTCTGCCGGAACTTTATCCCATAATTTTTCTCCCTCTCATTCGGTTACAATTCAGGATAATACCCATCCAGTTGTATCTCCAAACTCATTGCCATCCTTATCACCTCCATTGTCTCCTCAATTTTTGGCTTCACCAATTACAATAACTGAATCTGCTATACCTTCCAATTCAAATACTTTGGTCCGGTCCCTTTAATACCATTGAACAATCCTCCTAATTTCCCTCCTATAACCCATGCCTCTCCATCACGTGTTCATCCCATGCGTACCCGGGCACATAATCAAATTTTATGCAAAATACCACATGGACACTGGATCCTTACAAGGAAGGCATGAATCTTGTTGGAAATAAATTGTTGTATAGAATCAAACGTGATTCAACAGCCCCGGATTAATTATGGAGACACTTTCAATCCCGTTATAAAAGCCACCACTATCGGACTGATCTTAGCCTTTGTTATTTCTCAAAATTGGTCCGTAATGCAAATTGATATGCATAATGCCTTCTTGCATAGTTTCTTGTCAAAAGTGGTTTACATGTCTTAGCCTACTGGGTAAGTTAATCCGAAATTCCCTCACCGTGTATGTCGGCTAAACAAGGCTCTCTATGGACTCAAGCAAGCTCCACATGCTTGGTATGCTCGCCTAAGTGAGAAATTATTTGAGTTTGGCTTTCACAATTCCAAGTGCGATGCTTCCCTATTTCTATATAACTCTAAGGGTGTTCGTGGATGACATCCTCATCACTGGGCACTGGCTCTTCAGACTTAGCAATTTCCTCGCTCTTTAGGTCTCTCGGGGTGGATTTTGCCGTAAAAGACTTTGGCTCTCTTCGCTGTTTTTTAGGCGTGGAGGCTATCTCAACTCCTAAAGGCTTGCTGCTATGACAGAAACAACATATCCTAGACCTTCTTGCTTGAACCAACATGTCCAACACCAAAGCTGTTCGTTCCCCTATGGTTTCTAGCACTCAACTTTCCTTATTTGATGGGGCATTTTTTTCAAATCATACCCTCTATCGCAGTGTTGTTGGAGCACTTCAATACTTGTCTCTCACCCGTCCCGACATTGCATTCTTTGTCAATAAAGTGTGCCAATTTATGCACAAACCGACTTGCAAACATTGGGCTGCTGTGAAGCTCTTACTTTGGTACCTACGTGATACTGTTGATTTTGGTCTTTTTTTAAGACCCTACTCTTCCTTCGCCCTCTCAGTCTTCTCGGATGTTGATTGTGCTGGTAGCCCAGATGACAGAAAATCTACAAGTGACTTCTGTGTTTTCTTTGGTCAGTCCCTAATATCTTTGAGTTCAATAAAACAGCCTACTATGGCTCGATCGAGTACTGAAGCCGAATATAAGGCTGTGGCTAATGCTACCTTTGAAATTCTATGGCTCCAATCTCTTCTCCATGAGTTAGGAATTTTTTCCACTATCTACCCTATCCTTTGGTGTGACAACCTTGGTGACACTTATCTATCTACCAATCCTGTCCTTCATGCAAGAAGGAAACATGTCGAAATAGATTATCATTTTGTGTGAGAACAAGTCCGGTGCCGTAACCTGGAGGTCCGATTCTTGGCTAGTGAAGAACAACTTGCGGATTTCTAACCAAGCCCTTACCAAGTCCAAGATTTCTCACCATTCGGGACAAGCTGAGCATTCGAGCACTCCCGCTCAACTTGAGGGGGATATTGGAGAATCAAGCAATGAATCAAGCATTAATTACCAAGCATGATCCCTTTGAATATTCTGTTCACATGTAACAACTGTACATGCTCTTGCTATATATAGAGAATATACTACAACACTAGCTCATCGAGTGAGATTACCAAAATCCTCTGCCATTGTCTTTCCCTTTAAGAAAAATGATTGAAACGTGGAAACAACCTCACTGCTTGCAGGGGTAAGGCTATGTACATCTCATCTACCTCAGATCCCGCAATAGCAAGAGCGTCGTATACTGGGTATGTCTTTTTCAAAAAAGATGATTGAAATTTTAAATTTTGAAGTAGTTTAAAAAAAAATAGTGGGAGTGGTTACAAAGGACACATGTAATGTTTTGATTGAAGTGAACTAATTAAATATTTTAAAATTCTAGTAAATTAGCATTTAGGGAGAGAAGCCTTTTGAAGGACTCTCATACCTAATTTAATTGTTTGATAGTATAGTAAGATTGGACTTGGGCACTTGATAACCGTGAATTTCTTGTTATTGGTCAAACTAGGGGTGTCAATCACTTCGTAATTAAGCATAATATATTTTGTTCTAATTGCTTTTCCATGGCTTGGTTTCTAATATTTGTTTATTAGGTTGTCTCTTCTATGCACTTGGTACATAGCTGTAATTTGGGGCTTTGATCAGTTTTCTTGGTTTAATAATGAGAGCACCGTCTTTCTGCTCAATGCTTTTACTATCTTAAAATATATATCTTTGTGGGAACCATAACCTCCAGAGGTAACTAAATAAGTGTTTTTAGCGTAGCGTTCCCATTGCACCAATCATATGTTTTCTAGGCCATAGGTTTAAAAATTATTTCTTTCTGGCAATTAATGTAAAAATTCTGATTCTCTTCTTCCATTAGGATATAAATGGATATGCTGCCTCACCCCCTATTCAAAATCTTCCCTTAGAAACTCACATGTTAGACAATTGGACCATGTTTGTGTGGTTCAATTTAGTGAATATAGTTTGCACTAGGATCTAATTTGCCGTCAATTTCTCTGAATTTGTTTGATTTTGGGATGTTTTTGTCTAAGCTTAAATCTTTTAATCAAATGACCTCAGAACACAACAGAGTTTATGAGGGCATCATTATGATATAGGCTTCCAGAGCCAAGAATCTATGTTTGGCTGGCAAACATGAACAAGAAAACACCAGCTGATGCCTGATATAAAAGAGTTAAGTTTAAGCATGAAAAATATGTTAAGATTCAAGATTAAATTATTTTATGAATCATAATTCTTTCAAATCTGAAAAATCATCTATAATTAATTATATAAGAAATTTCATAAAAGTTTATTTTCAATGTATATTATTAAAGAGTTTGCAATAAAATCACCATTTATTTTGCTGCAGTGTTTAATTAAAATCATCTTACATCTTTTTAAGAAATTGATTTTTCAAAAGAAACAGACTCTTTTGATTTAGGACATTTTACTATTTACATCTGATAGTGTTTTACTAGGTTATGAGCCACCAACTTACCTACAATGAGTCAGTTAACATCACAATTTTTTTTCCCAAAACATAGGGGCAATGTATTAAGTAAATTAGAGGTATTATCTTTGTCTAATATATATAAGGGTCAGGGCATTTCACCTTAGAGTTATGGAGTCCATATGAAAAGTCTTCATTTTATGAAATTAGGGGGCCAATAGCGGGCCACTAAGTTACTAAAAAAGAAAAAAAAAAGACTAGGGCCATTTGATAAATATCTGAAAAATAAGGGGGCAATGCATTGTAACAATATATGTGCAGAAATTCTTCAAACTGCAGAAGGGGCAAGTGCCCCCCCAAAAAAATAACATGGCTCCGCCACTGCTTCCCTGGCCACTGAGGCATGAGTCTTTGTCCCCTCATTCTTTTACTTGTTTATTAGGTTTCAATGGGGGTCAAGCAGTAATTTATGTTGCTCTGTTCGGCTGCAGCACTTGAAGGGGTTGTGTCTTGTGAAATAGCCTTTCTATTCCTTAAAATTTGGTTTACATCTTGAAATCACTCGTATCATACTCTAGATTGGTTTCTCCAACTCATAGTTGGTTTCTTCGTGCTTGTTTTGGTATAATGGAACATCACCTCATTTCTTGAGCGTGATGTAAATTGTTTGAAATGGTGCCTTGTTCTGTTTATTTTTGTTCTTTTATTTGTGGTATTTTAAAACGTTGACATTGTTGTAGCATTCCCATAGTACGAACATCCTTGTATCAATGCAATTGTTGTACAGTTTCCATATCTCTCTTTTTTTATTTTTTTGGGATCTGCTGACACTACTGTCATGTTTAATTGTGTAGCAAATTCCTTCTGGGAAAGACTAGGACCATTTGATAAATATTTGAAAAATAAGGGGGCATTGCATTGCAACAATATGTGTGCAGAAATTCTTAAAACTGCAGAAGGGGCAAGTGCCCCCCTTCCATCAACATGGCTCCACCATTGCTTCCCCGGCCACTGAGGCATGAGTCTTTGTCTCCTCGCTCTTTTTCTAGGTTTCAATGGGGGTGTCAAGCAGTAATTTATGTTTCTCTGTTCAGCCGCAGCACCTGAAGGGGTTGTATTGTGAAATAGCCTTTCTATTCCTTAAAATCTGGTTTACATCTTGAAATCGCTCTTACTATACTCTAGATTGGTTTCTCCAACTCTCATAGGTGGTTTCTTCATGCTCGTTTTGGTATAATGGGACATCCCCTCATTTCTCGAGTGTGATGTAAATTGTTTGAAATGGTACCTTCTTGTATTTATTTGTGGTATTTTAAAACGTCGGCAATGTTGTAGCATTATCATAGTACGAACATCCTTGCATCAATGCAATTGTTGTACAGTTTCCATATCTCTTTTTTTTTTTTGGGATCTGCTGACACTGTCATGTTTAATTGTGTAGAAAAAAAATTGGGTTGATTTAGTGTCATCTATCATTCAAACCCTTCTAGATATGTTGTTTTGGATTATATAAAACTGGTTTGTTATTTTTGCAAAATGTTTGCAGGATCTGTTTTCATTCTTGTGCATCTGAGTCATATAACAGTTTGGGGTTCTCTTCAACTCAAGGATGCATCTGAAAGAGGGGAGTTGGGGAGAAAGGAGTAGGAAGGAAGAGAGAAAAAGAGGGGGGGGGGGGGGGGGGGGGGGG